GCTTAGGATAATTTTAAAGGAAAAGATCGACTTAACTGCGGAAGCGTAATAGATTAAAATAGTTTAACCACATTCAAGAAGTTCAAAATGCAGAGGAGGGATGCGAATTTCTTTATTCCCTTTTCAGAAGTGGAAACAACATATGACGGACCTGCTCTTGAGAATGATATCACGTTAGAATTTATGAAACAACTAATTGAAACGTTTAAGGCGGGTAAGAAACTGCACAGAAAATACGCTTATAAGGTTTCGTTTTGTTTGCTATAAGAATTTCGATTTTCATACCATTTTGTGGAGTGGTTCAACTTTCGTTTTGTTTGCTATAAGAATTTCGATTTTCATACCATTTTGTGGAGTGGTTCAACTTTCGTTTTTGCCATTTTTTATAGTTAAATAATGGTATTTGAAAAATGCATTTTAGGCTTCGTAAATAGTTTTCCTTAGAAGCTGCTCAGTACAATCTCATTAGATCCTATTTGGAGTATGCAGATTTCTTCTCCAGATTCTGTTTCTGTCCATGACATTCGGACTTGCTTCATTCACTCTCGAAATCTGCATATTTTTTCCCCTAAGTTGTTCTCATTGTCCTTTCCAGATACTTCTGGCTATTAGGCGATTGTTTGGTGAATTACCAACACTTGTGGAAATCACAGTACCGCCGGGGAAGAAATTTACAATTTGTGGTGACATTCATGGACAGTTTTATGACCTGTGCAATGTATTTGATCTGAACGGATTGCCTTCAGAAACAAATCCATATGTAAGTTTTACCTTTGGATTGGACTCATTTTTTGGTTATTGGAAAGGCGGAAGTCGCGTACATATTTTTTTTAGCTTTTTAATGGTGATTTTGTTGATCGTGGCTCATTCTCAGTTGAAACGATATTTACTTTGTTCGGATTTAAACTTTTGTATCCGGAACACTTCTTCATGTCACGAGGTTTGCAATGTTTAATCATTTATTTTTTCATTGTTAGAAAGATGTATTTCAGACTAAAAATTATTGAGACAAAGGGAGAAAAAAATTGGTTGTTTTTTTTGTTGGGGAGACGTAATTGAAATGTAATTGATGTACTGTTTTAGATAAAGTAATTGGAACTAAAAGATGAGGTCGAAAACTGAAAACTTATACTTTGTTTTTTACGGTTTTTATTACGGTTATAACTTTTATAGGTAATCACGAAAGTGATGTAATGAACAAAATGTATGGTTTTGAGGGTGAAGTGAAGAGCAAATATACAACTCAAATGGCAGATTTCTTTACGGAAATCTTTAATTATTTACCACTCTGTCACTTAATCAATAATAAAATATTTGTAAGTGTTTCCGAATCGAATTCATTTCAGGGATCTGTCTTAAATTCTTTTTTCGAAATCTTTGCATATTTCGTTGGAGCTAACTATATAGTCGAACTTGTTTTTTGACAATTAAGAAGCTATCTGTTGTCTCAGTTTAAAGTATTGAACCATTTTTTTGGTGTAATCCAGTGCTCAGTTTTTCTCATTTATATGTAGTAACTACTGTTTACTTCATCTTAACTAACTCGAAAATAAGCATTTCAATAAAATTTACTATGAAATTTGGGGTTTTCCTTATCTAAGCAATATTAAAACTGATTAATTAGTGAGTGTTTGCACTTTTTTTTCTCACACCAAAATATTTTTGAATATTTTGCTTCATTATACAAAGTTGTTTTTACTGACATATAGAACCGTAGTTACTACAAATTGTTCTTGATCTCATTTTCTCGGACATTTCTATTCTTCATTTTCACTAATTGGTAATTGAATTAAATTCAGGTTTGCCATGGAGGTTTATTCAGAGATGATGATGTCACCATGAACGATATAAAAAAGACAAATCGGGTTCGTCAACCACCGGATGACGGTTAATTTTCCATCAGTTTTTGAAAAGTTTTTTTATACCATTGCGGTATTTGCCATCAGTTTCCTGACCCTCTCTTGGAAAGATTGTGTAGTTCAGTCAGAAATAACGTAGTCTAATGTGTAACCGGACTTTGTTTTGGTAATACTGCAAAAATTTCGATGTTCAAGGCTCACAGGATTGCTTTTCCTATGTAGGAAGTAATTTTGAAGCTGACTATCAGTTGAATGAACAATTATTTCAGGTATAATGTGTGATTTGCTATGGTCTGATCCCCAAGATATGGACGGCCGGTCAGCGTCGAAACGTGGAGTTGGTTGCCAGTTTGGTCCTGATGTGACACATAAGTTTTGTGAGGCAAATGGTCTTGCCTATGTTGTAAGGTATCATTTTTTCTATAATTCTAATACGATTTTCTAAAGATCCATGAAATATTTGTGGAGATATAGTTTTGATATCTAGTTTTGTATTTCATTTATATCCTTAATTACTCCATTTTTTTCAATATTTAAATTTTCTTACATTTTTCTAATTTCTCGAGATTTCATTTTTTTTTTATAGAAGTCACGAAGTGAAACCGGAGGGATATGAAGTTCATCACGATGGCAAATGTATCACCGTATTCAGTGCACCAAATTATTGGTATCTGTTTGGTTTCTTTTGGTAATCCATACGAAATTTAGGTTTTTTCTTGCATTTAAACTTCTCTTCTAAATAAATTACAATTTTAAAGTAAGAGTAACTTTTCTGTCGTTTTTTTTTCAGCGACACGATGGGAAATAAAGGAGCATTCATAACAATACGAGGTGATAATTTAACACCACGCTTCACTTCCTTCACCGCAGTGGATCATCCTTCGGTAAGTAATTTCAGATTTTTTTCAGCTGTTTTCAGTCGGTTGTTGGAAAATTGTTAGCTAAATTTGGATTAATAGAGCAGACAAAAAATAGGTCAGTGTAGTTACTGCTTAGTGAGAAGTAAACTTTTGTAATTACCATAAACCTGAATTACTTTTAAACCAGTTGTACCGATCAAATCAACCAATACATAAATCGACAAGTAGATTAACCAGCAAATAAATGGCTCACTTGTCTGCAACTTATCCTTAATTATTCGTTCATTTCTCTGTGATTTCAGCTTGTAAGTCGTAAATCTTATCGCTTTACCATCATTTTAAAGCGTTCATTCATTCGCTGTTTTTTTTTTCTTTTTTCCAGCGGAACTTGACCAATCAAAAAATGTTATGTTGTCAGTTTGGCTTGCTTTACATTTTTAAAAGTCATCAAATAAATCAAATACTAGCTGTTGTTTTCTGTTCTCTACTGCACTGAAGTGTCACCGTTGAGTCTTGTTGGATGTTGATCATGGTTTAATCGGAATGTTTTGTACCGTGAGAAATAACGGAACGATCTGACCGTAAACTATTTTCAGGTAAGGCCGATGGCATATGCGAGCAGTTTATTCGGTTTTTCATAGCAATTGACTTAGTAGTTTGCCTATGTTTGCTTGTTATGAGTATTCTTTGACGTTACACATACAAATGATGAGATATTCAGGGGTTGAAAATGCAAGAAATAAATGTTTCCAGTCATTTTGCTTCTATCGTGTTATCATACAATCAGTGTGCTGTGAGCAACCGAAATTTCATTACTCATTCGTATTAACTACCATACCATTTTACTCGTCATGTTTTAAAAGCCTTCATAAATCTTTTACTATGAATAATTGAAAATGCCTGCTGTGGAGTAACTGTCAAACTTAAAAATGCGTCGGTTCAGATTCACAAAAAAAACAGTGGAACGCTTACTATTGTTGCTACTGCTATTATTACCATTACCAGTATTATTTCCGGTCATAAGTTATGATTTACGTAAATTAAGTATTTGAGATTTTGATAGCGTATTTTCTCCTCGAAATGCTACTAAACCTTAACTTAGGATTAATGAAACTAGGCATATATGAATCCCACTCAGTTCTTAGCTGTGTACATGCCATCATGTACTTATAATATTAGGGACATGATGACTTTATCGCTTCATAGGATAGGAAGAAAGAATGATGGAGAGAAATGCTTGTCTCGAAATTATGAACTTGGAAGTAATAGAATGAGTGATGTTAATTTTTGAACCAAGTGATAACGAGTTGTGATCTTCATTTCTCATCTTCGCAGGGGAAATATTTCCAAAGTTTCTTCACGATTTGAAGTCATCCACTGGAAATTCGACAGTGAGATTTACGCGGAGTCAGCGGGGATGCAATTTGCAATGGATGGAGTGGTATAACATATGTGCCACGTTGGGGTGAGTACGTAAAGTGGAAGCATTATCGTCAAATTCAACATATTCGAAGTTTTATGGTTTGGTGCAGCTGAAAGAAGTTCCTTATGAATGGTAAGTTAAGATCGAATTATTCCCTGCCTGATGGTAGAATTACCAGAATAATGGAGATGGGTAAAGCCGTAACCTATTATATGTCGCGTGTTATATCACCACTCTGTAAAGATGTTCAACGATACAAATCGTCAACTTACTGTGTTGTTCAAGCTACTGAAAGCATTTAATCAGATATTAGGGACGAAATTTGTGACATTAATTTACATAGCTTATTTTATGTTCGAAATAGGAATTAAAATAAAATTTAACGGACAGTAAATCTCGTGAGAAACGCAAAATTATCGTAGACGAAGCGAGATAGCTTCCAGAAAGTATCTGATTTTGTTTCATCCTGGACAGTTTTGTATGTTTAAGATGACTGTAGCACCAAATTTATCACCGTTGGCACGGCGGCGGATTCTTTCGATACTAAATGATTGCCCCGAAAATGTGGGAACTCGAGGAGCTGTCGCATTTGTTAGAAATGTGGAACCAATACTGCAGAACGGACCTCAGTAAGCTTCATATCCTTGTTCTCCTTTTGTCGTAAAATTTGTCGTGAAACACGAAGGCTGGCTACATCAGGCAGTATCCGGAAATAGTTTGATGAAAAGGAATATTTGAGGGAATAAGTCATCAGCTTATCAGCTATCAATCAGATTGCCTGTGTCAAACCTTCTCTGTATCAGGAAGTCAGGGGAAATCCTTCCTTATGGCTCTCTTTTAATGGCCTATCTTATTTTTGCTTGTCAGTCCTATAATTTTACGAATTATTATTTTATGATATTTCCCAAGATTTTCCTGTTGATAATTCCACATAATATGTAGAAAAAGAATATACAGTAAAAGATTATCGCAAATAAGGAGAACACCTTAGATCGGTTTGCCTTTTTTTTCCATTCATCATCTTCCCTTCGAGCGTCTGCAAGAAGCAATTTGCCAATTTCTTCTAAAACAGTTCTGTGAAATAGTAGGAAATAGTGAGGTAAAGTATCATAAACCAAACTAAAGTCTAGATGTGGTCTTGTTGCTGTACAAATGGTCGCCCAGGCATATGGTCTTCCGATCCGAAGTGTAGATGAAATCTTCCGATATGCTAAGCAGAAAGGATACACAAATCACGGTGAAGTGTTTTCTGGTAGGGTTAGCATTGTTTTTGCATATATTTGTCATATCACTTAAATTTGTTTGTAAAATTATAAATTGCAGAGTATTTCGTTTGGACAAGCAACGCTTCTGTTATTTTAAAAATATATCTTTGATCAATTTCTAGTTGTTTGCATGCATGATATTAAAAATTAGTTGCAAAATTATGTTACCTTGGAAGATTTAAATTGTTCTTGCTCCTTATTTGCTTTTACGTTCCTGTCACTTTTTCGGCAAACGTAAAATAAAATAAATTCTATATGCTAACAAATATATAATTTTGTTTTGCATTCATTCCAGCTAATTGGTTAGCTGATATTGTGGTTTCATTATGGCCAGTGTTGGATGTGGCAGTCGAGAATGTGCCATCTACAGCTCGGATGGAGCAGTTGATTCAAAAAAATGCACTACTGTTAATACCATATGATTGTGATAAAAATCATCAGCCAAGCAATCGAGGAGGACGAAGTGCTCACTGGTGCCTTATTGTTAGTTTCTTTTAATTGAAAAAAAAGGTGATCTAAATAAAGAAATAACATATGAATATATGGAGAAATGGGGAAAGGAAGATAAGAAATAAGAAAGGTTTTCATGAGCGTGCGAAAAAGAGTATGGAAACATTTGGAAGCATCCAAATATACTTCTTTCTAAAATGGAAAATGAAAGCTTTTTCTAAACATTAACAGCTTTAACAGTTTGATTTCTTTATGTTCGTATGTTTTAGTTTTTTTTCTTCAGATAGGATTTCTTTGCCCTGTAAAAGAATTAAAAACGGTAGCATGGAATGCCGCAATTACTCATACTTGTTCCAAAGCTACACACGTGTTTTGTATTCATGGCAAAAGTCGTCATCTGGCTGTATGGAATTATTCACAACTCGTTGCTAGCAATTTCAATCTACGTGAAGCATCGACTAAAGTGGCCGATTATGTTATACCGTCAAGTGACCTTTCAACACTTCGAAATCGTTGTCTCATTGTTAGTTGTCAGCGTGATACCACTGCTTTTAGTGCTGTTTGCTAATTTTCTTATCTATATGAGCGTTTCATTGTACCTAATCTTCAAAGTCGTTTGTTTCCTTTTGGTTTTACTTTATCAATATTATCATAAAAATTAATCAGTCTTCGATAGTGCAATATTATTAAAATACTACTGAGAAATTAATTCTCAAGCATTATTCTCCATGCTAGTAAATTAGCTAAATAATTAACAGAAAAAATCAAAATATTTGAGAAAGAAAATGTAACGTCGTCAATGAAATGAAAATCTTTATCACAAACATCGGTTATGTATTAAGAGAGGAACGTAGTATGAACTGATTGAGTGCCAGGACTATTTAAAATTTGATTATTATGGTGGTTGGACATTATTGGAACTAACATCTGTTGAGAACCGACTGTTGAGAAGCTATCTTGACTCCTGCAAAACAAGAATCACCTGTTGCAATGGACATCTTCAAATGATCATGTTAATTTTAAACTGTCGCAGAACTTCGAACTAATTGCATTGGAATTGCTGAAATTGTGGACTATGGCAATCAATAAGCTGCCGATTATTTTTTTTTTTGATTACAATGGTTCATGCAGCTCTTATTTCTGACAAGCAGGGTGAGGCGAGTAGATAACCAAAATTTAGCATAGGCAGAACCAGGCCTTTAACTGTTTAATCCGAATACAATGATAAGCAAGCAAAAGGGAGCTTAGTAACAATACCATCACCTTTCAGGAAGACCTGTTGAAAGTAACCACAAAAGTTGGCTTGCCTGTTAAATTATAAATGAAAAGAGATGATCTGAGTGTTTAATGCCTTTTAAAACAATTAAGATGAAATTTCGGAACGGAGATAAACTGGACGCATTATCAGAAATGAGAGTTTCCAGCATTCTGAAATCATTGGAGATAGAATGATTGTTGTTAATACAATTGTTCTATCAATAATGATAACATCAGGCTGTTTGAGGAAGAACGATATTATTAGTAATCATCCAGTACATTTTTGCTCTGTATTAATCAGAAGGAACTAGTAATGATCATTGAATTTTATGGAAGATGTTATACTCTGCAATACAACTATGGGATATATGACTGTATGCGTGAGGAACGACTTATAAGATTTTAAAATTTTTTAAAAATAGAATGGAATGCTTTTATTCACCGCTAAAACCTTTTGAGTAGAATTCAATGAAGTTTTTGTGAAATCTTTAAAAAAACCAATTTCATCCACCCTTCGTGTCCTATATCTACAATGCTGATAACATCCTTGAATTAAGGTTAAACGTACGTTTATCTCTTATTGTTTTCATTAACATTATTAGTGTTATATATGTGTATAAATTTGGTAAAAGTGAATGAAATGGATAGAACAGATTGATAGTTGAGAAGAGGAAATGATTTGTGGTTAATAGATATTTTTGACAACTGGAATTCAATTGTTGATAAGTTTGCTCATTTCTTCTCATGCTTTTCTATCATTATCCAAACGGTATTGAGGAATGAACGCAAAATTGTATAATTGAATGTGTTTGCAACAATTTTGCTCGTAATTTTTATTCAACTTTAATAAATTAATCGACCACTTCAATCTATTTGCACACTTTGCTTAGGAGTATGATTCAGCTGGGTTATCATTGATTACATGAATAATCTGTAAATCAAAAATAAATTATTTGCCATGTTTGAGAAGAGAAAAAAGCTTGACACCTAATTCTTTAAAACTAAATAAAAACAAACAGTGCAAGGTCAAACGGTTTTGCTGAATATTTCAGTGTTTATAAATTTCTACATATTTCCCAATTTTGTTCAAGAAATTTTGGCATCTTGACAGCTGTTTGAAATTTGGCATTTTGGGAGAAATAAAAATGAAATAAACAGTCAGTTTAGAGGAGCTAGGAGGTCAGAAGTCAAATTATTATATGTAGTAGTAATGGCTTACAGTTTCTCCAGTAATAGTTGAACTTGATGATTTATTTGACATCGGTATCTGTTCATCAAGAAGATGAATATCAAAATGTTGCTGTTGTTTGTTTGTGCCATTATGTTCCGCCATTATCCTGCATTATTACGTATGAATAGTGTAGTTCCCTAATTTACAAAATTACTGATCGAATTTGTACCGCGAATTCATAAGTACCTTTTTTTATTGTGAGAAATTCGCGAATGAGTGTTCCATCCGACATTAAACCTTTTTTTAATTTCTTCGATCCATGAAAAGCCTATATTTTCTGATAGTAGGACCTGAATAAAATGATATTTGATAACTGGGTTTTTCAAGGCAATTATTTTTCCTAAGCATAATCATCTGAAAGTTTTTCAGGATTTTAACTGTAATCAAATTTTTCGCTCAATTTAAGCCATTTTCGAATTTAAAAAGAGAGAGATTCTTCTCTTAGCTTATTTCAGCATTGTAAGCTATAATCACTGCCGCATTATAACAGATTTGATCTCATCAGATAGTTAAACAACATAAAACTAATAGAAGCAGCAAAAAAAAACCAAAAAAAGTGAATTTGAAACCTAGACAATCCGGATAATCTAAAATCTTTGTTGTATACTAACAAAATTCAGAGAAAAAAAGGTCAGATTGGTACCGATAAAAAATCGCAAAAAAGCCGTCATGATCAAAAGAAAGTCGGCAAAAGAGACTTATACATATATAACGAACAAAATCCACAAAATCAGTAAGAATTAAAGTATAATGAAAATGAAAAATAATAAGTATCATGTAAAAAGTACATCTGAACTAGCAGAAACGAATCTCTCGAGAATTCATGGATCACTCTGAGAAAGAACAAGACACAATATTTCATATTGTAAATGAGTCGCGATTTCGAATAATATGCACCAAAATTACTAACCTCTTTATCATGACTTTGCTTCATCTGCTTCTGCTCCATTAATTTATCAATTTTTTGAGCATTAGTGTATTGCTTCTCCATAATTATACCAGTTTGATGGACAATATCCTCAGTGTCACCAGTGATGTTTCCAAATTGTCGCTTTGTTTTTGACATCATTACAGTAGAAGATTTCGGTTCATCTGTTCAGTAAATAAGCCATTTTCTGCGAGATGGAATTGAACTACTTCAAGTTAATTTTAGTTTAGCATGCATTCATCTCATATTTTAAATTAATAGAACATTGACAGTAAAATTCACAAGAATTTAACTTTACTTTAAGTTTAATTAACAAAATACTTTTGGAAATTTGCTTTCCATTTGCTGAATCTTCCGAAAAACTTTTGCATGTCGAAACAGCATCACTTCCAACACTACCATCACTTTTCTTGGCCTGTCTACAGAAGATATCCATTGCAGAAGTGGTAGTTTGATGATGACGAACTCGATTAACCTGAAGAAAATGAAAAGGAAGTTGAATTTGTGGCGGAAAAAAGAACAAGATCACTGAGATTTTTTATTTCCAAAAGTTACAAGTCAAATTTAGTTAAAATTAATAAATTTAAATTTTTACTATTGCATGACGAGACCGTGCAGACGTTTTTAAGTCCCCATGATTTTCCTCAATCCATCTCTTTGTCCGATTCATCGGTGATATCATTGGAGCAAGCTCGATAATCTCATCATTCTTCCTAATAACTTTATAAATTCGAAAGCCGAAATGTTTATGTCAATTTCAGTATTACTGTTATTTCCACTATATTTTAGATCATTAAAGCCAGCTGTTCCTTTTTCATTTAGTCCTAAACTTCGTAACCCATTTCAACTTGATGTTTGATAAATTTATATTATTTCATCTGAGAGATAATTCAAGTTTAACATCCATTCGGCATTGTTCCTGCAATAAAAGAGCTTTATCTTTATTTTTTCATTTAATTTCTCAATAACGAACCACTGACGGAAGAGTTCAACGTTGGATTTGTGTTCCACAGCGTTTTGTATCGTTTTATCGTCTGTTTCATTTGATGTGATACGGGCACGAATTGTTTTAAATATTTTACGTTCAATGATTAAAGGAGGGATCTGAAGAACTAAGAGATAAATAGTATCTCTCTTTTATATTTCTTAATCAAATATTCTGTATTCTGGTTGTTACAGTGCTGGTTGCTGGTTACTCAGTATAACACTTACTCTTATTCCTAAGATTGATACAAGCAGAGAGAGAGATGAAGGATTAATAGTATTATTGTTTGGGAAAAAATCCTCAACAGAAGCGTACCGATCAATCCTTTGGTTATTATTTGAACTATCACTTGGCATCCATTACGGTACCCTTACTTACGTGAAATATGCGACAATGTATCCCAATTCATACTAATTTTATTCATCCCTTATCATATCAAGTCGGAATATCAGGAAAATTCGGCGATTCATATTTGAGAATAGCTGTTAACTAACTTCAATGACAAAAGCTATGAAAGAAGCAGCAAACAGCGATAACATAGATATTTCCATTGCGAAAATGATAAAGTAATAAGGTGAGGATGGGATTATAGCTGTACGTCGCGTCCATATAAAATACAACAAAACTGGTTCATGTGATAAGTAAAATCCGTAAGATAATCTGAATAAGTCTCAATTTTCATTTTCAAATAAACTATTTGTTTAAGTATGGAAACAGTCTGAAAGTAATCCGATAAGGTTCCTTTTATCATAATTTAACGAATGGATGAAAGTAATTTCAGGAAGTTGCGTTTAAGTTACAAATCCTTAATTCTACCTGGAGAAAAAGACCCATTTATCCCAAGCCAGACATGAATGTATTATATGCATATGACCTCGTTCACACAGCCAAACAAATAAGGCCAAACCGAATGCCCAAATTACTCTGAAATTAAAACAGAAGTGTCTAGAAAATACCTTCATTATTGTCGTCGTTTTCAATAAGGCACAGCAGAAGTAGCAATTCTGGATGGATCAACTTTTGGGGAATAGATAAGATGTAGCAAAATCAGAAATGGGTTATATATTAGTCATTAGATGCTCCGGATCATCTAATAATAATTCATCTTTTATATAACTCAAACTTTCAAATGGTTATGCACCGATGCATTTGTAGGAGAATGAATTCACCAGAATCATCTCTTTAATTATTCACTGCAGTTCATCTTCTGATGATGACGCCAATAGAAGTCGGAAGAAAAATACGTGAGTTCGCTTACCTAAGCTTATGAATATGTAAGAAATTTGTTAAATTAACCTGAATGTGGCAGCGTAAAAAATCGAAAATATAGAGAAGCTGTTAGCATAACTTGCACCAAAAAGTGAAAAAGAGAGCGTGGTAAAAGATGAAAAACGAGCAATGTTTATCTGAACTGTTGAATGAGTTCTTTTCGATTTTGTTGAAAGCAACCAGCCAAGAAGGATACCTGGAACAGTAATATACGTAATCCGCGTTTCGCTTAAGCATATGACCATGTCGTCATGTCAGTTACTTAAAGCATATCAACTTATCAAATCAGTTTCGCTGATTTGGTGAAGATATAATGGAAAGGATAAACGAAAGATTGTGAAATGATGCTGGGCTAGCAAAGCAGTCTAATAGAAAAAGTTTTTTAAATTCCTTCTTACTTTAAATTTCTAATTTTTCTTTATCTTCTTTCCAAAAATTTTAAAACAGGATTTTTCTAGAATTTTAGAAAAAGAGATTTTAATTTTTCCTAATGTCATACTTTCCACTTTAACTTCCAATTGAATTCAAGATTACGAATTCTTTTTGTAATAAACAAAGTTGATTAAGGGATGAAAGATGGAAGACAGAATGAAAAGTGTTGCTTTTAAGATTACCAATTAAAAATGGGCCAATTCTTGCTTGCGGTACAGCATATAAGTACCGAAACATTTTCTCCATCTCTTCTGTTTCTAGGCTGCTATCTTCGAGAAGTGCTGAGACAAATGTTGTCGGGAATCTGTAGCAGTCATAATGGTGTGAGTTGCATGATTCCAAACATTCCCCGTACATCGATCAAAATGTTTTGTAATACATAACAGATCATTAGAAGTGAAATCATCAAGAAAACTTACAAAAAGTCAGTGAAGAATATAGAATAAGCTAATCTAGACCTTTCCCTGAACAAATCTCGATATGAGAATTATCATCAATGTTGATTAAACTAATAGTGAGACTCACTCGTTTATCCATTTGCTGCCAGCTAGATGAATCATACCTTTAAGAAACTGAAAAGTATTAAGTACTATTCTTACCAACTTACTATCTTCTACTCCACCCTATCTATCATTTATCATTTAGCACTTCAATTATTTTTAAGCACAGTGATAAAACGGTAAATACTACCTGAATAATATCAGTGCAGTAGCTCGATAAATAACAGACGATATTACAACAATGACAATTAATGGTATAGCGACTGTTGGTATAGCATGCAACAACAGTAAAGCAATTGGAGCTACCTAAGGATGGATTTGAATTTTACGTGAATATATTTCGGTTTAATTACTGTAACTAAAGAACATCTGGAACTACAAAAACTTTTGCGACGAAAGAATACACTGCGAAAAGCATATTTTTACTTTTATTTGGAAAACTTCAAATCTGGAAATTCTAAAATACAATGATCTCACATCGAGACATTTCTCGGAAAGCTGAGCGCCATGATAACAGGATTTCTAACTAAGAAAGAGGCTTTCTCGTCTACAACTATAAATTTCTGCATCATCACAGGAAAATCTACCAACTAATAGGCGGATATTCATAGGTTGGTTCCTTGAGATATTCAAATCGCTGTGAGTGCCTGTCCCATGATGGCCCGAAAAGTGTAAATATGAAGAACGAGGAAGACAGCTCGAATAAACTTATATAAAATTAAGCACACCGTGTTTAGGTATACTTGTGTGAAGAATACAAAATGACCATACCAAATGGCGAGTTCTAATGAAGGAAGTTGTGTACTTGATGATACTAATAAATTGTACTTTTTTTTAAAACAATAGTGGTTATCAAATTACGTTGATTACATTGTAAGATGCAGAGAATACACCGAAAGAAATCTCGCTAAAAAAGTTGAAAGTAGTTTCATGGAGGTATAATTTAAAAGTCTAACCATATAAAATTGCGTATCCAGTGCGAGGTACCACATCCAAGGCATACATTCATTGGGATAAAAATTACTCACGAAAAACAATTGCCGCCAAATATCATCCTTATTGCATCGTGCGCCGAAAATTCCTACAATTCTATGTTTGAGAAGAAAGTGTATTATAAATCATTTTAGTGTAAACATTTTGAACTCTATTGATACAGATGGTTCTTTCAAGATTCTCTAGAAGCTTTAAGCGTATTTAAATCATACCTTAAAGTCTCAAGAATGTGATTTCTGTGTTACTATAATTAAACCAAATAATATAAAATGGAAGGAAAAAATATAGTTGTTATATCCAGTCATATTAATGCACTAACTCTAAAACTTCAAATTAACCAGAAATGAATAAAACAAACCATTCTGTTGAGACCACATTGGCCCATCACCAATATGTTGAAAAATGAAATAAATGATAAGAAGTGTGGCAAGATAGGCAGGTGTTAAACGCATAAAACGATGCAACCAAAGTATAAGCCATCCAGACGGTGACAATGCTATTCGTTTTCTCTGATGTTTTTTTTGCTGTATGACACGGAGATGGACTTTGTATGCCAATACGGTAGCGGATATCAGTAAAAAGGAGTCGACAGAAAGAGATGAATTGAAAATAATTTGAGAAAGTTTCTCGTTTGCTTTCAATGAGCTCCACAGTTGTCGGACATTACCAATATATTCCAGTGAAAACAGATGTACATGACCAACTGCTACCTGAAATTGATTATTTAGAGAAAATATGAGAAAAGCCGTTGCTTAAAAGAGGATAACATTTGAATTCGTATGAAATCAAATGAAGCGAATATCATACGGGATATACAATAAGTTTGTGGTGGAAAAGGAACGGAAAAGTAGATGAAGCACAGATGTTTCAGGTCTCATGCATGGACGATGTGAAAATCTGCGATGGTGCGGGGAGTATTTCAATATCTCGAAGTACCATATAGATCCAACATCAAACAGTATGGTGTTGAAAGAGGAATTAATTCAAAAATACAACTAAAACATGCAAAACACTTATCTATTGATATAAAAGAATAAAAAACAGCAACTATTATTAAAGATAATGAAAATGTAAAATTCATTCATTGAAAAATATTACCCAAAAAGCGCTTAATATTCGAATACCGTATAATGAATTCAAGTGTCGATTACATGGACGTGTCAAATAATGATATGTGGAAAGGATGCTGAATGCGAGTATCTAAATTTCACTCTTTAATAACATCAAAAAATGAATCATTCATTCTCATACAGTCTTATTTTTTAGAAAAACGTAATGGTATGTTACAGGTGCTATCACGCTAATCACATTAAATAGGATACAAAAGAAGAATCATGTCTGAGATAATTCCGTATAGTATATATTCCTTCTTGAAACAAATGGTGGTAATGGGTCGATGTTTCTATGCAAGTATTTGTTATTTCTCTTAAATTAAAATTTAAAATGAATAGGATATGAGAGACTTACGCTATTAATGATAAAACTCGGTTTCTTCAATGTCCTTTGCACAGCTGGTACACTTTTGTAAGTAAGGGCTTGTGAAGGAGCATCACTGTATATGAAACTGCGTGCGTCGTCCTGAATACACGGCATACAGATCGAGGATACATTCGATGACACATTTTTAGCCAATCGTGCTGTCATATGACTACAACTTCCAGACGATTCTACAAGTTATACAACGAATAAGGTAGATTTGTTTTAAATTTCGATAATTTACTTTATTGTTTTCAGATTCTCATACTCAGTTTTCAGCACATATATTTCAGTACAGCGGCATTATCAGATTAGAAACAACATCCAATCAATTAGCCCTAACACTTTCTGGTAAAAGTTACTGCTTGTGATATTCCAAAAAAAAAAACATTTATCGCTTTGACTTGAAGTTTGTTTAAGTGCTGTGAAATAGTTATAAATAAGGGAAGAATGATAAAATAATACTAACAAATGATAAAATAATACTAACACACAATGGTACTGTAACACAATAATATACAGTATCATATGGTATAAGTGCTAATATTGATATCACATTTATCCATTATGATATTTCTGGACAAAAAGTTTGTCTCATTAAGATTTGCAATTCAAACAAGGAGACATCAAATGGTAGGTAACGAATTAAGTGATAATGTTAATGGTATTCCTCCTCATTCCTTCTCCTAACTGAAATATGCAGTTCCGAAACGCCCGATCAAGAATATCTAGTGAATTTTCTAGAAGCTCCTCTAGAGGACTATTGATCAGTTGCCAGCCTGCTGTAACTGTCAACTCCTTTTCCAAATTCCAGAAGTAGGAGTTCACCGAAAGATTTACTGGATGATTTTTTTCGAGAAATGAAAGATTGAAGAAATAAAACACTGATGTTAAGGACCCTGAAATCTACCGGTCTAAAACAGTTGGTTTGAAATAATTACGGTAGTACTGATACTTGTTGCAACATTATCAGTCAGAGCGAGACTTAGTTCAAAAAATTGAAAGAGGATGTAAGAAACCTTTGTTGAATGAATATTTTCGATTCCGCCGTTTACGGTACATATCGATTGAAGTACCATACAGTACCAATAAAATAAGAAAAGCGAAGATAACAAGAACTGTCCACTGTAAAATGACTGAATGGTATGATTCATCAAAATTTATCAAAAAACTTTTGGTGTGAAATTAAAAAAACACACCTGTGGAATACTGAGTTTGTTGAAAAATGAGTCCTTTTGCTTAAAGCATTCGACAGTTGAATTGTTAGAAATCAGAATGCCGAAAGTTTTCTCCAGAAAAAAGGAGAGCACGGGAAAAATTCCACTTACGGAACGTTCATCACAACGGACCGGTAAGCACATTCCTGAAAATGATGTTATTTTATATTTTTTGCAAATTGTGGAAATCTAAAGATTTGAAATGTGGAGGACTGGGAATAGATTTTAGAAAGTTACTATCTCCTAAGTTGCATTTCAGATTAGAAATTTTGTAAATCATTCAAAAACATTATATCCAAATTATTTACAAACCGTAGAAGAGAGGTATCTGATGTTGTTGCATTCCACAGGCTTCAACGCGAAGATTCGCGCGACAATATTTTACTGACTGATTTATGGTCATTGTTTTCGATATACTTTGACACTGGTCATATGCACCGAGCCAAAAAAATGGGCCTGAAGAATAGATGCCGGCGGATGGACGACCCCAAGCATCCAGAACTTGTGATAAATGTTCATGGGATATTTGATGAAGATCTGCAAAACATTATTTTAGAATGTTAAGAATTAAAAACACACATAGACCTATTTTTGAGTTATACTTGATGCTTTCAATTTCTAATTTTGAATTGGAATGAAAGAGCTGATGTGAAAGACCACTTCATGTCAAGTCCTTCAAGGATTATATTTTAATCGGCATACGAATTTGACGAATATCAGGTTTAAATCAAAAATCAAAAATTAAAAATAAGTCGGGAATTGATTTGAAATTAGAAAAGGTTGATGCTTTAAATTCAAAAAGGAATGCTAAGTTTACAAATCTACAACCAAAAAGCGACATAAGTTTTTATGAGCAAAAAAAAAATTATTACCGAGGCATTGCTTTATATCCGTTTTGTTCTGACCGGTTAAACGACAGTATGTCGTGATCAGTAATGCATTTGCAGAAGAATCAATTAATTTAGCTAAATCCTTGATACATCCACCCATTTGGCCTATGAGTTACCTCAGATCATATCAAAATGAAAGGACAAATAAGCTGGCGATCCACATCACCAATACCAGTGGAAATATTTGACGGTAAAATTTCGCTATGGCACATATTTTTGGACTTATTTGGATTCATCTACTGGTTTAGATATCCCAATATCATAGTTACCTGATCACTCTCGTTTCCAGAACTTTATAAAACATCGAACTAGTAGGTTATTGAAGTTATCAGAAAGTTATGATTTCAAATTCATCAAAAAAGAAAACTTTTCACTAAATATACCAATTATTTTTGTTGACTTACTGAAGTTTGCTTTGATAAGTGTCGAGATACGTGACTGTTTAAAAAAGTCCGACAACTTTTCGGCAATCCTTGTTTCTGAAATACTATCGCCTTCTTCGAAGGAATGGAACGAGGAAAAATTGAAATTTACAAGATATTGAAATCAAAAGGAAAGAACTGTACATAAGTGTTGATGAAAGTCCAGTAATTAAAGTTGTGATTTAGCGTAAATAATAAATGCAACTCTCGTGGCTAGAATTAGATACTCTTTGTTCAAAATTGTCGTCGAACAGTTTAGAGCTGATAAAGAGTTTATGTGGTTCTAATTCAATTTAGAATAGCTTTGCAGGAAGAAGTCAAAACTTCTGTTAGAATGAATCTGTTTACAAGAAACATTTCAATCATCAATGAACCAAATTTCAAGCATAAAGTGTAAGATTCTAATTAATGCCTTTATTAATCGGAGTTGTGGTATCAATTACGTTTTCAATACGCTTGATGACAAACGACTGATTCAGGTATACCACTTCAATTGGTCGTACAAAAGTGTTGAGGAAATCGGAAAGAACTGTTTCAAGTAGCAAAAAATCACTTCCTATTACTTTTTGATCTGCTAAAAATACAAAATTCATATATGATAAACTAATGACAAATTAGTCTCGATTGCAAAAACATGAGGATATTCCAACCGTTCCGTGTAGCATATTTTCGGATGGAACTGTAATTGTTAACCAAAAGTAACCGCTCGATACTCAAGATATTCAGTTGAGGTTAAACTTAACTGTTATCACACTCCCTTTGACAGCAGGCAAACTAAGACTGAAATTGGTGAAAGAACACCAATCAATGGATTTGATTAATGAAATTAGTTAAAATATCCAGCTTTCAATGTCCAGCTTTTCAATAGCTTCTCATTTTCAGCTATAAATATGAACTAATAATATAATAAATCCCGAATGAGGATAATGAAAATGACTCGCCATATGCATTCTGAATGGTATATTTTGGAATTCGCATAATAACCGTTTGACACCCATTAATTACTAGAATTATGATAAGGCATAAAGTAGGAAGTACCATACAATACGAACAACCCTTCCCCATTTGTACATTTAGCATAAATAGCAAAACTTTATCGGCCACTCCATTTTTACAATAATTTTCATGAAAAGATAAATAAGGTTAATATGCAGCGCAATGAATAGCAGCTCAATTGTTTACCAATTATTAAGTATTAAGTTTTCGGAACAATAAACCGTTATCAACTTATCAGCTCCAAATAATAGTGATGCCGTTATTTCAAGAAACCAGTAACCTTCATTATCAGATAGCAGTTCATTCACAGATAACTTTCCATGTGGGATAACTTTTCATTTTTTATCTTTCAGATTCCAGATCAAATCATTGCTTGATTGAACATAAATTGATTTTATAACTGTTATTGCAATAGAATGGGCACTTTATTGATAAATTTTCGGTGCAATTAATCTTTTTCCACTGCATTAAATTTTGTTCGGTCTATTTCCCTATATATCCTATCAGAAATTTCTTTTAATTCAAGAAATCTGTTTGACAGGAAATCTCTTTTCTATTTCATGATGAATTGAGCTTTTACAATGGTTCTTCGGGATAATATTCCGCTTCACTCTTTCTCTTTTTTCTTATTGAACTATCATAAAACTTGTTAGGTATTTAAGTCCAAAGCATTCCTAACTTCCTGTCCGTTTTCCTTCTCACAACGCAATTATGTATAATCGTTACCTTATTGGCTTTTGGCTCTATTGGCCATAACTACTTACTTGAACGATTTACTCCTTATTTTACTCTTTTTTTTCCTGAAAATATTTTTTAGCGATATTAAAAAAAAAGTCCTAAGTAATGGGACTGAGAAAAATCGGGAAAGCTCTTTGGAATTATAAGTAAGGTTAAAAGTATGCATTGCCATAGCATAATTATATTAATCGTCCATTTCATTGCAATTTCTAAACATAATTTACCTTTTATGAATTGATGTGACAAGTATCGTCATAATGCTACGGCAGTTTTAACAATGATTACCTCAGTTAACGTATTATATATCGACAGGCAATACCTCAGGTTGCAAACTTAAACTAATTGTCGAAATGTCATCAAGTCCCTTTTTAGATTAAAAGTGGACGAGCCAAGAATCAGTTCGTAATTTGAAATCAAGATCTAAAATAAAATGACGGATACAAAAAAAGAGAGATGAATATATGTCAATTATCCTTCAAGTGTGAATTCACTGAAGCTCATAAAAGTGAAACAGTGCGAAAGTGCAGAAAGCTACGCAATTACTGATTCAATTCAACATATTTTAGTTCAATATATTTAAAGTATTCTATTTGGCTCAACATATTGATATTCAACTATTAATTCAATATACTTTAGTTGGTAAAAAATTTTATGCAAATTACAATTATGTGATTATTCGATACGCTTACTTATTTCCATAGCCACAATAAACAACTGGAAAATAAGGATGAAACAACAAACCGAATCAACTAGATCTCAGTGTGACGGTTCAATTCCTGATATCAGTTGGTCTTCTTATTTTATTATCATTTTATGGGATTTTAATTCCATGAAACAAAATTAGCAAAAGATTCTCGTTGGTCGTTTTCATGATCATAAGGAGAAATTAATTTTTTCTAAAAAATAAAACTTAATTTCTAAAGTTTTACTTGAAAGAAGTTTGGATTAAAATTTTGTTTAGCTTTTGATGTGCACATGTGATGACAATATAATTTCGACTATTTTAAATAAGTTATGTATTGTTATCGCAATAATTGTAGGATAAAATGGATAGGGTAAGTTTGGCATGGTGAAATGAGAGTGATGTGAATGATTGTAGTATTTGTTGAGGAAAGCTGCTGTTGCGTGCTTGCAGGCCCATTACAAATCATAGTCGTGAAATTTATAAATTTCCTGAAGTTATCTATTTCGTTATCTTTAAGGCTTATTTATTATTTGCACTAATATTGCTTTTGTCCTGAGCAAATGCAACAATTCACTTCTAACTTCTATTGTATATTCCTCGAACACGAATCTCACAATATGATAAAGCAATCAGACTTCTAGGTTGAATTGCAACTAATACAGTGTCCATCTGTTAGAAATAATGATATCCTTGATATGTAATTTATATATATTTAGAAATAGCCAAATCTCCAGGTGATGATAATAGACGAATGGAAAGTGATGGATTGGGAGGTTGGAAAAAGGTACAAAAAGCGCTTCCACGTATCATACATTACGGTCAAAATGAGGGTATATTGCACACAACGACGACTAGTTCTGTATGCTTCATTTCTTGCCAATAATCAGGACATTTTATGAACAGGAAAGAAGGAACTACCTGAAAGTTGAAAATATCGTCGAAAATATATAGAAAATGTTGCAAACGAGACTTCATTTTCAGGTTTATTACTTTTAAATAGCATGAAGCGATTGCAGCAAATGGGTTCACCATACAATATGCCCAATGTTGTAATGCAAGCACAAGTAGCAGCAGATGTTTGTGTTCATCATTTAACGGATAAAGTACAAATACCTTGTAATGATATAACGATTATGCATGAAGCTATACCATTCCTTCCAGTGCCGGTTGCTCTGCTATGTCTCTTCTTTAATATCATCATCCCCGGATCAGGTAAATTTATCGAGTAAGAATATAAACATTAAGATAAATCGTTTTTGGAAAATATATTTATTCCAGATAAATAATTATTTTTATTCAGGAACAATTTTAAGCGGGATCAGCGCTCTATGTATGGGGCAACCAAGAATAAATTTCAAGGAAGGTCGTAAACTGGTGACACTTTTTGTTAACTTTTTGGTTGGCATTAGTCAGTTCTTTACGATAACCTTTCTTTTCGTTGGATGGTTCTGGTCAGTTGCATGGGGTGGCTTGATCATTATACATTCAAGTAAGTTTAATCTTCAACAAATCATCAACTGATAATCTCCATTGATCTTCTATAAAGCAGTTCATAATAAAATCAAGATTATAATTTAAATCGTAATTGTAACATAATTTCAATTATGATCTCAATATTTTGGTGTTCCAATCAAAATAACAGCTGAAAATTTATGAATTTGAAAATTTCATGGAAAAGATACGACATTTACAGTGCAATATCGCGATGCATTAGTACAACGGCGACAAGAAGCAGTAGCAACTGCAGCAATCGAAGCAATTACCAAAGACTCAATACTACATAGGCGAGACGTGAAGAAACTTGTCGAGGCTCACCGAACGACTAGCGGAGAGAAACAGCGAGCTTCAGCTAAGCTTTTCAAATGAATGGATCCAGGAAATGAGGATTGCTTGGACTTGCACACGCTAAGGAAGACTACTTCCAGGCTTGTTTTATCTGTATTACCTAAAGACTATTTCCAGGCTTGTTTTATCTGTATTACCTACCTATCACTAGTTTCGAATATGCCATGTTAATATTATAGAGGCCTAATGTTGACAGTTAATCTTCTTCCTGTAGAGTGCCACTCAGCTTTTAATGGAATACTTGAAGAGCCGGATTAATCCAGATGTTATATTTTTTCAAGATCTAATTCATCTCGCTGACAAGACGTAATCAATTTTGAACACTAACCTCTAACAAGTGGAAGTTTATTGTCGGTCAAAAGAAGATCAGCCATCATAGTTACCAGCTCTTCCATCTAAATTTCCATCCAAACTTATGGTTCAATCGAAATGCCCACAAAACAGCAACTAAACAAGCTTTATTTTCAATAAAAGCATAATACACTGCAATGGGATGCTTTGTAATTGATATCAAAACGGAAAAAATGAAATAGAAACGAAAAGAAAAGCAATCGTTCCAGTACTATAGAAGTCCATCTTTCAGTCAAAGAACATAATGCGTAAACTTTATTACAACTCCCATATGTTTCTCGACATGTCGAAACCATTACAGCTCGTAAAATTCATTTTCTCACAAAATCGACAAATGTTTTAAAACGAGTATCTAAAAATCTACTTACTCATAGTATTTCTACTTTCTCAAATAATGGTCTCGTTCCCGACTATCTTTTATTCAAAGCTATTCACAGAAGCGAAAAATTTTTCAAGGCTCCATAAGCAGACCATGTATATTGAAATGAGAATTAGCCTAAAACTTTGCAAAATTGCACAACCTTAACCAGACAGTCAAAAAGCGAAGTCATGAAACAAGAATATCAACATTAAGGAAGAGCACCATCGGAACAGCTAGATGAATAGAGTTCCCTGATTCTAAAACCTATCGGGAAACTGAGAAAATTTATAATATGTTAAAGCCAAATAGTTTAATGTAAACATCATATTCTAACTATTTCCATTGTATTACAAAATTATTTTAAGGCAAGCCTTAAGCCAAGCAGTCGAAACGATGTAAACATCTTATCATATTGTTTAGGTTATTCACACCCATTATACAAGGCTTACTCACCTTTTTTTAGTTCAATTCAAGCCTACCGACGTCCAACAACTTTCCTTCTCCAACCTTGCATCCTTCCTACACGTCTAATAGTTCGATCTTTCTATATATTCCCATAGTATCTTGCTAATATAATAATAAATCTTACTATTAACTTGTCTGTACCGGATTACCACTGTATTACTACCAAAAGGATTCACGTAAGCTTGCCTTTATTTCAATTTAATACTTCTTTAATAAAGAGGAGAAAACTTTCAAGAAATCTAAATTTCTCTTAGATTAATAGTTCGATCTTTCTATATATTTTACTCTTACAAAATCATAAAAATCCAATTCAAGCCGAATTTTCTTTTCAAAATCACTGGTCAAAACATTCTTTAACTTTCAAGAGTAATCTAAAAATCAGCGAAGACAGACAAGCTTACTATATGAGATACTCATGTCACATTAAAAAATTGTTTCCCAATTAGAACGAGCCACTCTCTACATAAAACTGTTATAGTGAATTAGCCGATAATCTGGAAAAAATTCTCCATAAAAAACGATGCATAGTGGTCTATCCTTTTAAAATTGTAGAACGAAACATGAATACGGCTGTAAAAAATAACTTAAAAATTGCACACTGATTGCTATGAACTCAATGAATTCCCAACATATTTCTCAAAAAGTTGTGCTTTCTTCCTTTCCAAAATGAGATTCTCGATTTCTTTTTGTGATGGCACAACAACATGTTGAATGAATGTTTTTTTTCCGTCATCACCTATCAGTACAGATTGCTTCGTGCCGATATCTTCCTCGTCAGAGTCCTGCAAAAGTTTGCTAATCAGGCACATAAGTGAAGACAGAAAAGGGGACCGACTTAAGCATGAAATCTCACTATGCAATTGTGCATGCGTGATTTCGAGTGCTTCAAGATACCGCAAGTCTTAAAATAAAAATTTTACAATAAAATATATCAGAGTAATGATAATAAACCTAACAACCTCAGAAAATAATATCAAATAGTTCATATGATTTTCTTTATGTATGGATAACTTACATCATCAATTTGATATATATAAATATCTTCGTCGAATTCCTTCTTTGCTTTCAATGTATCTTTATTTTCTTCCCAATCCTAGAAAACTTTTTGCGAAAATCTTGCATGCTAAATATCAAATGTACGCTAACGAATCCTAATCGCCTACGAAACGCAAGAAATCTCAGACCTTTTCGACTTGTAAACGAGCTTTGATTTCAGCATCCATTTCCAATGGTACCAATAAACCATCATCATCATCCATATAGCCATAATAATCCGCATCCAAGTTTTTGATTAATTCCAAACGATTTTTCCTCGATTCATCGATTCCAACTTTTTCGAAAAGTTCTCGAACACCAGGTAAATCTTTCGCAGCTCCAAAATATTTGTAACCTTTACTACCAGCTACTTCACGTCCCTCTCGATCCAATTCTCTAGGCGCTATCTTCCTATAAAAGCAAACTGGCATGTGGTTATGTCACTTCTGAATACAATGGCTAACGAAAAAACTTCATCTAGAGTATTTATTCGTATAAAAAAACACATAATATACCTGTAATCCTGGCCTCCGAGTTCCTTAATTCTTGTTTCCCAAGCGTACTTTACTCGTAGTAATTTATTTATTTCATCATTCAAATCCCGAATTTTAAATTCACCCAAGCCAGGATTTTGTATTAGCGCTATTTTCTTAGCAATTTCCATCGTCACCTGCTTTCTATATCTTTCTGCATCATCTAAAATCAGATAAGATTAAAAAATATTTTCATCCTTAGTAAAAACTTACTATTATAAATCGTACTTACTTAGCGTGTTGCATTCGTTCACATCGTTTGGTCGTTTCGCAACTGGACCTTTCTCTTCTTCTTCTTTCATCCTCCGCCATCGGGCCAAAGCGGTCATTGCCTTCTCTGCATTTCGAGCCTTAAGTAAACAATGGTTAATACTAAACTAAAGAATGAATAAATTCTATGCAATGAGTAGAGAGAAGTTGATCACTTTCATTTCCTTGAACATAATTAATAATGATTCTTTTCAGAAAAATGACTGAATTATGAGATAACAAAGTGCATTTGTAGAGATGTAAAAAATGCTGCCAACAGGATGATAATACAGTATGACACGAAAATGTTGAAATACCACAAAACTCAAATACCACAAAACTAAAATGGTCCGATACGAAGATAGTGAAATGCCAAGATTAAACAGAATAACAGAATACTTACCATTATTGAATAAAAATATCGTAATCCAGGTGCAACCTGAAAAACATTATTAAATGAATCTTCTCAAAAACATGTGTCTATAAAGCAAATGGAATTCGCACGAAAAGAGGGTTAATTAAAGCAGAATTATTCATATTAGCGTACTCATACCGCATAGTTTTGATACTCCTGGTAATCGATCAAATATCACAAAATAAAAAACAGCTATCCGTTACTTAAACTTTCATCAAACGAAGTTTAGAAACCGTTGCCGTCCTTAAAGATTTGGCCAAAAAACTACTTTGATTAAAAGAAGTTCCTCATTAAGACGTATAATAATTCATCCTTATCAACATTAAAAATCGATACAGGATGACGCTTCACCAAGAAAAAGGATGAAAATTTCCGAAAAAAATGTCCAACTCATTCATCCTTGTCTATTACAGAGTACGTAATATCTGTTTTAAAGTTTTCAACTCATCTGAACAAGTGAAATATAAAGTGAACCAAATTTTATCCGATGCAAATGTAAAACACAAAGTTACTGTAAAACAATGCAATCTGTTGGAATAAAAGAAATACAATATTTAAAGAATTTCTTAAACACAAAAAACTAAAATAGCAATGGTGATATTCATCCACAAGTTAAGGGAAACTTTATGCATTCTCTACATGGAGAGTCAGATCTAATCCGTTCTTCACAGGTGTGGAAATGATCACATTCACTGGTTTCGCTATTGCCAATTAACTCCAAATCTCGTTATATCTACTCATTTCATCTACTTATCTTTCAGACGCACGCGAGTCAAAAATGATTTTAAAGTGGTAGCAAAGAATCAATGTGTGACTGACTATTCACAATTTCAGACCTTCAGAAATTTGAAACCCAAAACTGTATTTGAAACAAGCAGTTAATCAATATTTTAGCACTCCTAAATGATTTTGCAAAAAGAGATATAAAGAAACACACGTAACAAATTAATAACAGAGTGAATATACAACAATCTTCTACAATTCTTTTCATTTAGTTCAACGTTCCATTTGATCAGTTTGAGTGTCGGTATCTTCCTCGTTATAAATATTATCAGCCATCTGCCAAATCTGCATAATATTATCCTCTGATACAGAACATACAACCCATGGTTCGTTGGGGTTCCAAGAGAAATCTGAGATCTGGAAAAAAAACTTATCTGAAGAAAAGAACAAGTGTTACTGACCCACTGATGAGAATCTGAATTACCGTGTTTATTGCAAACGCATTATCAAGGTATATTATCAAGACCCAATACCTTCTATACCAACTCTTTGCTGTACCAATCGAGGTAATGCCACAGATGGAACTTTACTTATTTAAAATTATAAACGCTTCATATTACCGTAATTCGCTGGAACAGTGTCAAATAAGTTTTAGTCACTGCAAAGCAGTGACGATCCGAAAGCTTCAAAAACTACAAATCCTCAATAACATGAAAAACTGAGAAGAAATTTGAAACTAACAATGACACACAGTTCTAGAAAAAGTAAAGAATTAGTTTGATGAAATATATTAAATGCCTACTTTAGCTGTATGTCCACCATGTATAAAAAGCAACTCTGCAGGACCGTCCTCAGCATCCTCTGGTGACTGCTCCTCACCTATTTTGCTTAAATCCCAAACATGAAGTCGTCGATCAGTGCCAGAGGATGCTAGAATTGTTTCATTGTGTGGTGACCACTGGACTTGGAAAATTTCATCTTTATGTGACTCGAATGAATGCAATTTTAATTTCAGATTTCGCAAATCCCACAAAGCTACTGTCTGAAAGACAAGAAGTTAGTAACATATATTGATGAACTACCAACGTCACTGATGCCTTTCAGAACATTGATACAGTTTAGCAGCAAAGAAAAATTGTCATGAATGGTCGTGGGTAGTCTTGATATCGGAGTTTAATATATCACTTTAATAGTTATTGAAATATGTCTTTTCTTTAATTCGAATCAATGTAAGAGAGATAAAGAGAAATAGAATAGAAGGGGGCAGAACCTTGTCAGCTGAGCCAGTAGCCAATATAAATTCTGAATATGGATTGAAGGATAAGCAGTTTACTTCAGCCGAATGAGCATCAACAGTGTGATTCGGTTTATTCGAGCTGTTTGTACGGGTATCCCAAATCATCAGCTTACGATCATCACCTACTGAACCAAACACTGCTTCGTGCAGTACATGCCAGGCAACATCCTCGACAACCGCATTATGTCCGTTAAAAATCTGCAATTATGGAGAGCAACATAATCTTTTCCATATGGTGATGAGATATATGAGTTGCATTCCGTGGAAATGAAATTAAAGCCCGGATGGCAGCGGTGATATACAACAGAGATTTATTGATAATTTAGAGAATGTCCCGAGAAATTATATGGTAAGCAATATTCACCTATTTTCAACATAACTGATCACTTTGGTAAATACCAAACTCAAATTCAGATAACTGGAGTCCGAAAACGATATACTATTTGATGTGACTAAAAACTTTTATTGGTACTTCATAAAAATCACTTGCCGTTTTTGCGTCAAGAAAGCTCGATTGAGCAGTCGCTGCCTGAACATCCCATAAGCAAACAGTCATATCATCCGAAGCAGAAAGCAAGTGACCAGGCAAATTTGGATTCCATGATAATCCATAACCTCAAAGAAATGTCTGCACGCTGGATGGGACGAAAGAACAAACGAAGCTGAAGCAAACTTAGAAAAAAATATGAAGATAAACAAGATACCTTCCTTTGTATGACCACGTAAACGTAACTGTGGCTTACAAACATTATCAGCAGGATTCGGGACAGATGGATGCTTTGTATAATCGAAGATAAAAACCTGAACAGTACTCAATCAAAACTCAGGATTCAAGTTCAAGAAAAATATCAGTAATCTGATACAAAAAAAAAGGAAAAAAACAAATGATTTGGCGGTTTTGTAAACAGGTTTAACTAACAGTACAGTGGCAGAATACCAGTAGAGTAAAAAAAAAAAAAAGACTGCGATGTTTCTTTTCGGAGCAAGAAAATGAGAAAGACAAATAAACAGGGTAAAAAAAAAAAACTTCGCTGTTTGGTGATTTCGTAGCCAGCAAAACTGGATTTTGTGGCATGTAGCGTGCACGATTCACTTCACCTTCATGATTCATCTTAATTTCAACATCAATTTTCCCTGTTATCGAACCAAAACCCCCAAATTCTGCAAATTATTGCGGGTACAAGGAACTCATTTTGAGCAGCAAAAGCATAATTTCTGAAATATCTAATACAACTAAAAAAATGTTTAAGAAGTACCGCCTTTTTCAGTGTCATATTTCGAAGCATCAAACTGCGCATCATCAGTAGGGAGTAACAATTTAGCTATAACCAAATGATTCTGTTCATCCGAAGTATGGGTACCTAAGATGAGACGATGAGTTGTGTAATCGCTTCCTTCTAGTCTATAAAATAATGATTACAAGCTCA